CTGGCACAAGATTTATCCCATAGACTGGGCCTATACCCATCTGACCCAGTCGGGCTCAGTCCAACGGAGTTACTGTACATGGGTTCACCTACCTGTAGAAGTGGTGTCAAAAGTATTCATATTCATTACTTGGGTAGAAGTATCAGTACTAGAGTTTAAAAAGACTTCTGTAAAAGCTGAAGTATACACTCAAGCATTTTACACAAGTAAAAGTGTCAAATTACTGGTTTTAAAACTACTTAAAATAAAATTAGTGTAAGGAAAAAAAAACATTAAAGAAAAGTGTAGACTGCACCACAGGGACCTATAGTACACAAACATACCTCCCTAAAAAAATATTTTTTCTAAAGACCATAGTAAATGATAAATGCACTGAACTTATAGAGTGCTTTATCAAGTCCCTCTGGACCCCAAATTGCTTTACACTTATAGACATTCACCCATTCACACACACATTCACACACTGATGATGGCAAACTACATTAGTGACTTAGTGACTTTAATGTTATAATAAAATTCGGGCTGTACTAGCCTACCTGTTTCAGGTTCATATATACATTACTTCTGTCATCTTCATACTAGGCTACAAACACACGTGGACAAAGTTGTTGGTACCCTCGTTTAATGAAAGAAAAACCCACAGTGGTTGTTCAACAAAATATTAAGTTAAGGGTACCATCATTTCTGTCCAGGCCTGTTTCATGAGTTTTTATTTCTTAATTCTGTTGAAGCACGGTTGAAAAGCAATGTCTGACTTTTATTTGTTTATTTTCATAGAATTTTTATTTGTTACTTTTTTTCAGATTCTAGTTATTTCTGTGACCATTGTGGATTTTTTTTTTCATTAAACAAGGGGTACCAACAATTTTGTCCATGTGTATGTCTGAGATCCTGCACCGTGACTTTATTTGTATCATGTCCAGGTGTGATGGATCATACAAACAAAAAAGTATCAGAATGGTATATATTTATACTTCTCATCCAACCACTTTTAAATTTAGTCTCTCCAGGAGGCGCCATGTATCTGGATAGATTTCTTATTTAATTAGCCAATGACAAACTGGAATAAAAAGCAAGCTTTAATGAAATATGATTAACAAAGGTATTTTTAAAATGTAAGTACAAAGTGAAGGTGAGTATAAAGTACAGATAACTGCATGAAAATGTGAGGAGTAGAAGTAAAATGTTAGCAGAAAAATAATTAGTGTAAACTAACGTATAGGTAACCTAAATTTCTACTTAAGTAAGGTAAAGTATTTGTACTTCGTTACTTGACACCTCTGGTGCCAAACAACCGTTCAGAGTCCCCAGCCTTTTAACAGGAGATGATGGAAGGTGCTCCAGCTGAGGACTTAATTGCATTTGTATATTTTGGACACTTGGGTGTCTGGTTATGATTTATAAAATAGTATGATTACTAAGCGTATCCAAGATGCTGCTGTAACTCGCCGCCCGCCCCTCACACAGTGCATTCTTGAAATAAACAACAAAAGATCGACAAGTTTTGATTGATGCGATGCATTAGCCACATGTTGAAACCAAAATTAGTAGTAGTCATTATTCAGTAAAAACTAAACTGACCCAGACAAGCAGCTCCACATGCTGTTTAAATGGAAAAGAAGTTATTTATTAAACACGAAAGACCTTAGGATGTGCTGTCGTTATCTATAATGACTTCTTTTTCATTAGGATGTTTTCATTAAAAGACTCTAACCCCAGGCTGCTGCTGGTGTGCCTAGGTGTTTGTGCTTGGGAATGGAGTTAATTACAGCTTAGAGGCTCGGAGGTTTCTGAAGATATTTGCTTAATCTCCTGCGTCCAGCTTTTTTGCCATAAATTAAAAAATGATTTGCGTGTAGCAGAGCAGGTCAGCTGTCTGTCATTTTAAATCTTTCACCAGTGTCGAAGCTCAGAAACCTGATCCCAGGCCCCGCTCCTCATCCTCTCGTTTTAAATCCATCTTACCTTACAGCTCCTAATGTTGTGCTTCTACAGCTCTAAATCCTGCTGGGATTTAACTGGAGAAGAGTGGCGGGTGAAGGAGCAGAGCTGACTCTCTGAGGGACTTCTGCCAATCATGGCCACTGACATCTCCCCAAAACAAAAGCCTGTTGGCTTTTACTTTTTTGTTTTGTTTTGTTATTTGGCTAAATGTGCTGTCACTCGATGACTGTCTGGCTGTCAGCTCACTGACTCGAGTGGTGAAATCTCCACAGTTCAGCTGGTATCTGTGTGACGATATCACCACCAACGCTCTCCACTCTCACTGAGCTCAAAGCTGTCTGCAGAGAAAAGGCTCTCATCTGAGGATTACAGAGCGCAGCATGTGCAGGAGGAAGAACAAAGACACAGTGATGGTGTTGACCCAATTAGGCGAGAGCCGCCATTTGAGTGAGTTGCTCTTTTCCTGGAGGCACGTATTGCTTTAAAAACAGAAACTTCTGTGACTCGTCTGCATTTTGTCTACAGTTCAAAGATTTGAGTACACAAAACTGTCAGCCATGTTTTCCCTCTCAGTATTGACCTCATACTGCCCAGACCACTTTGCTGTTCCTGGTTTTCACACCATCAGAAGACCCTAAAGTGGAGGCCTTAGGTGTTATTTTGACCCGGAAGGCAGCACTCCCATCTTTGACAGTCGTACAAAATTTGAAAGAAAAATGTACCAAATGTTGGAAGGAGTCAGACTGAGACAGTCAACAGGTATTGAGCCTACATCCATCGGCAGGCGTTTAGCCATAAGGGCATTGGGACGCCCTCTTTAGTTTTGTGTAACAACGCCCTCACTTCACGTTGTCGATCTCCAACATACCTGCAAAAAAATAATAAAATGGGTTCACCCAGAGATTTTACTGATATTTCTCTGGATCTAACAGAGGCACAGCTTTCACTGTCAACCACTCCGGATAGACTTACTAACCAATCTGAGTTAGGGTGGAGGCTGGCATTGGGTCTTGGCAAAACTTTGATTCAGATCCAGCAGCGAGCATGCACCGGGCATAGACCACAAGTTTATGAAGCATGGGGAAGACAGTGAAGATGTTGATAAAGACATAAAGAATCATTTTCTCCTGACTTGGATGAATGAAGTGGGTAGTGATTTTGCAGCTTTAGTCTGTTTAATTTGGTTTAGTTGGTTCTGTGTGTTGTTGCTACACTCTCCACCCCGTCTGGAAGTAACAGAACTTTCGTCAGCGGTGGGTGGGGGCAGCAGCTGCATTTGTTGATCTTCTGTGTTGCAAAGCGACACAACGCCCCCTCTTTTCCATGTATTAGATTGAAATGCACAGAAGCCGGTTGGCTCACAGTTGGTTCTAAAGGCTGGTTTATACTTTGAGTCACACGTCTTTGTCCCCCTGCTGAGTAAAAAAAAAACTGTAACTTCTGCTCTCACGCTGCTGTCCCATGGTGACAGCCATCAAGTACGTTGCTCCCAGTCAGAACTCTGTGATACAAACCTTGCTGCTCACAGAGTGATTTGTCAGAACTTCTTGTTAAATTAGCAAGATGAACAGCTTTGATGAGCAGCTGGTTTGATCCTATTGAACGTGTGAGCATGTATCTGATGTTCGCCTTTTTTTCCATCACCTCTGTTGACAAAAAAAGGCTTTCCTCCTCAGACTCTTCACCCAACACAACACTGAATGCTGAGTAAAATAAAGCAAAAAAGAACAATACACAACCGTCACTATTGTTGTTTTTATACTTATCAATGAGCTATAGGAGTAGTATTTATGATAATATATGACCCGCCGTGTCTTCAGCCCGTTTATACTTGGTCAGGAAAAAGACGTCCTAAATGGCGCAATCACTGACCTGTTGTCTCATGTCGTATTGCAGTATAACTAAGCTTAACTCTGCTGCAGAAGACCCCCATTAGAGTGACTCAGATTCTGATAGTGATACTTAGAGCAAAGTGTGTACGCTCTACAACTGCTGAAAGTGTAGTGATGGAAGAAGTTGTCAAATTATAATCTAATAATTTTACACAATTGGATAATGTGTCTGAATGACTCCTAAAGGGCCTACTAGGGTGTATTTTTTTATAATGAGCCATCGTTATAGTGTGACATGAATAAAATATTTTTTGTTAAATCATTTGGTAAAACACCAAAAACATGGTAAATGAAATTATGGGGAAAGGAATAACATTTTCTATGGAGGACCAAAACTAACATAATTAGTAATAAAAGCAGAAACATATCAATGGAGCGATAAATAAATAAATAAATAAATAAATAAATAAATAAATAAATAATCTTTTCATTTTTCCCACAAGTCTTTTTATTTCCTGTTTTTACTTTACCTTAAGCATTTCAGCCTCATTATGTAAATAAGGTGGGTGGTCCTTCTTGGGTCCGCTCCCCTCCTTTTGGTTGACAGGAAGGAGCAGGATCCATGAGCAGATAGACTGTGCAAGCTTAAAGTTTAAGGGTTAGTTAAAAACAAAGGTAAAGAGGAAAAACTTACTTGTTTGTAACTAAACTTTAGGCTAAATGGAGGCAGCAAAAGCATGCACAGTAGATCTGCACATGGATTCTGCTCCTTCCTGTCTGTTGACCAATAACAGAGGAGCTGACCCAAGAAAGACCATAGATTTAGACCCAACAGGTGGTGATACTTTTCAAAACTCCTGATGTAGCTCATCTAAATTATATAGCATAGAAAATAAAACACAAGAACCAAGAGGGAACAAGCCAAATGTTAAACACAAATAACTACCAAAACCACTGACACCAGTGTCAAACACCAGGACAGTACTGTAGTTTCTTCTCTCCTGCCGATTACTTTTACATCCCTTTTCTGTGTCAAAACTGTAGGGATGATGTCTAAACTATTGAGCGACTTTATAGGTAGCAAAGCTAACCGCTCAATAGAAAATAATGGTACTGAGGCTAAGACCAGAAGAACACTTCACAATTTCCACAACTGTGTTCTGGTTTGTGTGAATATAAAACCCAAATGTTTCTTTAGTTTTTTTTTTTCTCTTTTCTGTTCAGATTTCACTGCTGAAACAGTCCCTTGAGCTGCAATTGACTCAGTCTCAGTCCTCTCTCCAGCAGCTGCAATCACAGTTCAACCAGGAGCGGGAGCTACTGAGCCAACAGCTTAAAGGTAAACAAAATCATTACGCTAAATTATAACTATGACTGCAGCTTATTATAGAAATTCTACAATCAAATTCATTTGAAAAATCCCCGATATGCTCCTGTTTGCCATAATTTTGAGATCTTTAATACTTTGAAGTGATTAATGGGGTCGACTGTAGAAATATGCTGCCATCACATTCTGCTCGGCAGTGTCAGCTTCGCCGCTGTGCGACTGGAACAGACTGTCGTGTCGTCTGGCTCATCGAAGGGAGTTGAAACATGTCTGCCTCTGATGTGTAACGATGCAAACCCTCATGTTTCTGTTCGCAGAGATGCAGAGAGAACATCAGAGGAGGGAGCATCGATTGCAGGAAGCTCACTGCTGTGCTCTCAGCACCATGGAGGAGGCCCGACAGCATCAGATAAGAGTACGACACACACACTCATATGCATCAGTAAATATGCACTCTTCCTCTTGAAATGTGCCTCAAAAACTCGTTTTCTTTATTCTTTTTTTGCAGTACAAAATCAGATAAGGCTACATTTTTTATCACAACCCCAAATAAAAAAAATTGATAAAAGCAATGATTCTTATTTTAACCGTGGTAAACTTTTATTTTGTTGCCTCCAGGATGTGTCGTGTTTGATCTTGTCAGCAATCCAGCTCTTGATTACTGCTTTTAAATCCAGTGAGCAGCACGTGAGATTTCAGCTGAGTTTAGTTTTAGCGCTCTTTTAGATTCATAATATCTCCAGCTACGTTTAAATTTTTTTTGAACTCAGCAGTGTAGTTCTTATAAGATATTTTCATCACACACTGTAGCTAAAAACACGAGTTTAATGAACGATGACATAAAAGCATCTGTTGGGACGACGCAGAGGAGGAGCTGACCAATGAAATGAATGAAACATGTCTTGATTGGTACTTTGGTGCACTCTCTGAGTCTTGAAGTATTTTATGACTTTTTAAACAATCTTGATAGTTCAGTTGTTGTTTTAAGGCTCACTGGTATTTGTCTGCAGTGAAATAAAAGTGACCCTTTTTGCTTTAGGCGTTAGAGATAATCCTGGCCTGTGCTCCTTAAAAACTGGTTTAAAGCTATTTTATTAAACAAATTAGCATAAATAAGCTGCTTTCATGATGAAAGAATGAAGCTGTAGTACTGGAGCATTTATCTATTCTGTCTGCCTTTTCGGCATTCATTTATCTCAATCAGTGTGTTTGTGAGTGTAACGAGGAGGGATCTAAAAACTTTAAATGTTATCACGTTTGGTTGAGTTTCTCCTCTCTTCCTGTGCTTTCCTCCTCTTTCATCTGCCCTTTCTCGGTCTGTCCTCTGCCAGGCCCTGGAGGAGCGTCTGAAGCAGGAGCAGAGGGAGGAGGTTCATGCTCTGAAGGAGGCCCACAGGAGGACGTTAGAAATCCTACGGCAGCAGTCCGAGCAGGAGCTGCAGACACTCAGATATGAGCTGGAGGACGAGGGAAAAGCAAAGCTGGGTCAGTGAGAAAAGACGCTTGCCTCCACTGATTAGTGGAGCTGCACAATACATCGTTTGAGCGTCGTCATCACAGCGTACCTGAAACCAGTTGTCACATTACAAGTCCTGCAATGTAGGAGGCAAATTAAATCGAGTTATCAAAGGATAAAACCACTAAACCTTAAAGTACCTGTGACATCCCTGTCTTTCAAATACAAAAAGTCAAAGAAGATATCTTCATATTTAGGAAAATTGGCATAAAACACATGATTTAAACCATTTTGTCACATAACTGGCATATTTTCCTTTGAATTTGGCTCAGCTAAAGTGAAACAGGAAGTGACATCAAAGGGGAACTCTGTAAGAAAAAAAAACTCCCTTGTCTTTGTTTATTAAAACAATAATATTTGAACTTTGACTTTTCTTCATCTCTCTCTTATAGGGATTAAAATTATCTAGAGAAACAGAAAATTCCCTGCTGTCTGTGTTGTTAGCCGTTGTAGCAATGCTTTGTTTACATGCAGACATTCACCTTTGACATCACTTCCTGTTCCTTCACATTCAAATATCTCAACAACTGTTCACCTCAGTGGTGTGAAATTAGTTTTGCAATGTGTTATCTATGTTATCTTTCCAAAAGTGCAATCACATTTATCACAAAAATTTAATGTCACAGGCACTTTAAGTCACTGCACTAAATGGTCACGTGTTACAGCTTTTATTTTGACAGATTCTGCCAGCGGAAGCGTGCAGCTTCGTGATAAAAAAAAATCTAAAACTTTCATTTTGTTTTGGAGAAATGTTGTTGGTGAATTTTTGAGCTGTGGAGGAAGATGACGAGGATCTTAATGAAAATGAAGAAGATGAGCAAATTTGCAAAGAACTGGAGAAGAGGGAAAATATGGTTAGCATGAATGCTAATATTAAAGCGTGATGAACACAGAAACTGAAATAGACACAGAGGCAACATGTTTGTGGTAAAAAAGCAATTAATGTTTGCACGATAAAAGGAAACGTACTCAGGTTCCAGCACAATGAAATCAGCAACAACTCTTTAATACAGACAAAAACATACTAAGACACACACAGAGTTAAGATCAGTGAAGGTTCATCATCAACAAGATGGCAGCAGAACTTAAAGTGTCATTCAAGTCATCTGTTGAAAATTACTGTATTTTTTCATATCACAATATACAGTATATTGCAGGGTTAGAAAAAATTGCAATGTCAGTTTCTCCCAATTATCGTACAGCTCTATTGATAAATCTTCTAATCACCGTGACGTCCTCTGTCAGCTTGTTTCAACCTTCACCGAAGAAGTTGCTTTACTTATTAGTTCAGGCAGATCTAACTGTAGTATGAAGAGCAACCCCTCTGTGATTTTATCAAACATTGTTTTTCCTGTAATAATTGCCTTGTGATTCTGCAGTGCTGATGCTCTGAGTTTACCCATCCTGTCTCCTCACCTGGCAGCGTCTCTTCGAGCTGAACTGAACCACCTCCACGCCACCGCCATCGAGCACCTGAAGCAGATCCACCTTAAAGAAAACAACGTAGCCAAAAGGGAACTGGAGAAAGCCATGGAGCACAGCCACAAACAGGTAGCTGCACTGCAAAACTCATCCACCACGCCTGTGAACACCTTTCAATTTGCTTTTCCTTGAATAATCACTCAGTATGTTTATGTTCTGTTTAAGGAACAGGAGCTCCTTGTTCGGTTGTCTGACCTTCAAGGAGAGCTGTGTTCCCGTAGCAACCGCATCACCGACCTGGACCACGAGATCCACTCTCTGAACGAGACGATCGACACTTTGACTCGAGAGCTGGAGCTGAAGGGCAAAGAGGTGCTGCGAGTTCGGAGCGAAGCCAACCATCAGATAAGGTAGAAACACGGGAGCAGAAATGCTGAATTCACCAGAAGGAAAACGAGCTAAACCAGGACTCAGCAGAAACTGACCCAGTTTGTAGTGAATTTAATCTCATGCTAATTTATGAACAGATGATTATTAAACACAACATCCAGGGATATGTTTGTTCCTCTTTCAAACAGGAAGTCCCTAATGAGGTGCAGTAAATCACTTAAACTGAACAACTTGAAAAGATCTGAAAAGGAAAGATCAATAAAATACCGACCGAGTCATCCGTGTTTCATTTTTAATGATGTATTATTAGGGTCATTTTTTTCAGTCTAGTCATGTCTCGTGTCCTTTACATTGATTTAGCAACAATAATTTTAACGTAGTTAAAATCCAAGGCCAAATCAAGAAATAGACAAAGAAAAAGGTCAATTAGGATAAATTCTGTTATTTTAAAGAGAGGATATCTTAATTAGTGCTGCACAACATATCAAAAATTTTCATTGCAATATCAGTATGGGAAAAATAAGTTGTAAAGCATCTGAAGTACCATGCATTCATATTATGCTGATAACAATATGTGTGACCCATCTCATCAAATCAGAGTTCAATTCATATTCAAACTGACCTTTAAGCTATGCTTTAATAAGTAAATCATCCTGACATCACCTGTTCCAGAGATGGTGCTTGATTTGTTTTTCCAATCATAAACACACCTGGAAAATCAGTTTGAATCCTATTTGCAGCGTATTCTTCAGCGTTCTTTCTTAACTCATATTTAGATATCGGGATTTCCAGCTGGTTTTGAAAGTAGCACTGCTAGCACACAGGGAAAATTGCAGAAACTAGCAGAAAGCAGGCCTTTTCTGCTCAAACCCATCATTAACTGATGGTACTACTCAGAAAAAGTGCTTCAAAATATTTTGCAGTATTATATTTTAAATATTTCCTGCAAGGGACCCACAGATAATGTATTTATTTAACATATTTTGACAACTACCACTGCATTATAGCTGCTTATATTTAATTTCACTACCTTCCGTTTTAACTCTCGGTTCAATGGGACGAGTCACATATTTGGTCAGTCCAACAGGCTCTCACAAGCCTTCATGATTGTAATGACTGAAGAGAACATAAGAAGTGAAAATAAAAGTGGGTTTATTGTTAATATCTTTTTAAGCAATAATATTACACATTAAAGGGATCCCCGATTAGTTGTAACATTAGACTTTATTTGATAAACATATTTTTTAACTGTAAAATAAAGACTAAAAATACTGTAGGTTGTTTAGTTTAGTAAATTTTTAAAATTTTATTTCAACACGGATGGAGCCATTTTATTTACACACAAAGCATTCTGGGTAAATGATGACGTGGATAGGTCCTCGGTGCGAGGCTGCTAGCGAGTTATATCCACCCTGAAGTTTAATCTTGGACAATATCTGATGATCGTCTCTTTTAAATGAAACCAGAGAGCGTTGACAGAGAGGAGAAGGTAGAAATGACTCAGCCTG